GGTTCACTCACTACGATCCCACGCGCGCTAAGCCCAATCCGGACCACATGCATGCAGGTCCGGCTCTAGCTTCCCGGTCCGCAGAGAGAGCTCGGCAGCAGCATCTCGCCACGGCTTCCATCTCAAGGTGCCTGGAATGAGGCGACTGGCGTAATGATGTCTATGATCCAAGTCCCCGGCCGTCTGGTGTCCTGCCACAGGCGCCGATCAACGCTATCGTGAAACGCTAAGCCGGGCATGTGATGCTGGCCCCGGGGAGCTTGGACTCCAGCCACGCTGATAAGCTGTCGGGATGCGTCATGCTCCGTTGCCTGGACAAGCCGCGCCTCCTCCACACGAGCTATCCATAGCTCGACTTAACTCCACCCATCCCATCTCTCTTCCATCCTTTCTTCCTCCCCCATCACTCATCGCCTGCTTCTTCATTAAAACGTAGAGGCACCCTTCTCATCTACTTCATTTACCGCTAGAGCTCCGGAAGCTCAGCACCGCCATCATGAAGGTCGCTGCCTCGGCGCTCCTCGTTGGAGCTGCTTCGGCCGCTGTTGGAACCCAGCAGCAACAGGTCCTGAAGTTCCCCGACTCGTTCAGCGAGCTCAAGGAGTCCTCATGGACCAAGCCTCTCCAAAACCTCGAGGAGAGCCTCAAGTCGCTCACCGGCGAGGCTCGCGCCGTCTGGGACGAGGTCGCCATGATGTTCCCCGAGAGCTTTGAGAAGGCCGCTTTCTTCTCCGAGCCCAAGCCGCACACGCGCAAGGCCGATAGTGAGTGGGACCACATCGTCAAGGGCGCCGACATCCAGAGCGTCTGGGTCGAGAACGAGAACGGCGAGAAGGAGCGCGAGATCGACGGCAAGCTCGAGCAATACAGCTTGAGGGCCAAGAAGGTCGACCCCAGCGTCCTCGGCGTCGACAAGGTCAAGCAGTACTCCGGCTACCTTGATGACGACGAGGAGGACAAGCACCTCTTCTACTGTGAGTACCTGCATGACCACCACAAACACACCTGTGTCTAACGTATCCCAGGGTTCTTCGAGTCGCGCAACGACCCCAAGAACGACCCCGTAGTGCTCTGGCTCAATGGCGGACCTGGCTGCTCCTCGCTGACTGGTCTGTTCATGGAGCTCGGCCCTGCTTCCATCACCAAGGACCAGAAGGTCAAGCACAACCCCTACTCGTGGAACGCCAACGCCTCCGTCATCTTCCTTGACCAGCCCGTCAACGTCGGATACTCATACTCGAGCGGCTCAGTCAGCAACACTGTCGCTGCAGGCAAGGACATCTACGCCCTGCTCACCCTCTTCTTCAAGCAGTTCCCCGAGTACTCTCACCAGAGCTTCCACATCTCGGGAGAGTCGTACGCCGGTCACTACATCCCCGTCTTCGCCTCCGAGATCCTGTCCCACAAGAACCGCAACATCAACCTCCAGTCCGTCCTCATCGGTAACGGTCTGACCGATGGCCTTACTCAGTACGAGTACTACCGCCCCATGGCCTGCGGTGAGGGTGGCTGGCCCGCTGTCCTTGATGAGTCTCAGTGCCAGTCCATGGACAACGCCTACCCCCGTTGCGCCAGCCTCATTGAGAACTGCTACAACTCCGAGTCCGTCTGGTCCTGCGTGCCTGCCTCGATCTACTGTAACAACGCTATGATCGGTCCTTACCAACGCACCGGTCAGAATGTCTACGATGTCCGCAAGCCTTGCGGCAGCAACTCTCTCTGCTACGACGAGCTTGACTGGATACAGGGCTACCTCAACAAGAAGGAGGTCATGAAGGCCGTCGGCGCTGAGGTCTCCAACTACGAGTCTTGCAACTTCGACATCAACCGCAACTTCCTCCTTCAGGGTGACTGGATGAAGCCCTTCCACCGCGTCGTTCCCGGCATCCTCGAGAAGATTCCCGTCCTCATCTACGCTGGTGACGCCGACTACATCTGCAACTGGCTAGGTAACAAGGCTTGGACTGAGGCGCTTGAGTGGCCCGGTGCCAAGGGCTTCAAGAAGGCCGAGATGGAGGACTTCAAGATCGACGGCGACGGCAAGACTGTTGGCCAGGTCAAGTCCAGTGGCAACTTCACCTTCATGAAGCTCCACGCTGGTGGCCACATGGTTCCTTACGACCAGCCTGAGGCGTCGCTTGAGATGCTCAACAGGTGGTTGTCTGGTGACTTCTGGGAGTCGTAGATACTTTCCATGTAGATTAGCTTGGTTGAGATTGTCATGTAGGAAACCGATTCGCAATGATTGGAAGGATTCCCGTTCGTTGCTTGTATCATACGGGCTTTATTTGCTTCGTGTTATCAGGAACCAATACAAATAAACGATCACATCCAACTATCATCCGCCATGCTCATTTCATCAGTGTCTGTTTTATATAAATCCAACATTATCACGTGCCCACTGTCGCTACCCACGATTATATTCAACTTCGTCAACTGTGGCTTTTCAATATTGCAAATGATAGTAGCACTGGTGGTGTGTTTAGGAGTGAAAGTAGAAAAGATATTGGTACGCGATGAGATTTTCGGTTCACTTGTTCCGCTCTGACGTAATTCCCAGGTACCCTTCACATGCGTCTTTATCGATGTCATGTCCAAACCTTTCACTTGGTAAGGGCAGCAGTATTTGCAGGGGTCTGAGAATCGCCATTACCAAGGCACTCATCACTCACCTTCTCCACGCTTCGAGCAGTGGTTGTTGTTTACGTCCATTCAATACTTCACTTTTCCCCCAATACGCATAAAAATATACTTCCTTAGTACCATAGCACCCACCTGAGTACTTCAGCCTACAAGGATTCTTCTCAACTCACATTCGCCACCAACCTTACTACCGAAAGACTGAATTTTCAAAGCCTACCACCAACATGACATCAAAACGCAAAGCCACCGACTCGCAGAATGACGGTCTTGCCTCGACACCAAAGCGTCCGAGAGTAGCAGCGACAAAGGAGCCGCGAAGACAACCTCCCAACGTCGCCGGTAATGGGGATGCTAAAACCACGAGTGCTCCTTCTCTCCTACAAACACGGCCCTGGCTCACGCGTGCTCAACCGATATCCGAACAAGATCTCTTCATACTGCACTGTCGCGACAATCTGGTTCCCGGCGCGACTGGGCCAAAAGACTGGCATGTCCTGGCCGAAGAGTTTAACGCACGATTCGACCACGAGTTGAAGAAGCCACTGGCCTATAACACGTTGAGTAAGCGATGTGGAGCCGCGAGGAAGTTGTTTTTGAAGAACAACCCGGAATATGCCGGGGTGTGCGTTTACCCAGTTCCTCAAGTAGAAACTGGGACAGAGGAAAGATCTGGAGGCCCAGACACAGTGGACTCTGATAGAGATGACAGTGAAAGCGATACGACGGATGAGGATGCAGATGCCATGCCAAACGGCAAGACCGCGGAACCGCAAGGAGGATCTGCTACTCAACATCTGGAAACCCCTGTCGCAACACTGCCAGCCCACAAACTCCCGACGCCTGTATCATCCAGCCCGCCGGCCCGTCATGAACATTCCTCTACTTCCAAAATTACCACTCTCTCGCCTGGTTCCTTCAACCCCTCTACCGTGGAAGAAAGCTACATACCGCCTAATACCCGCGCAAAATTCCACCTCCAGCAGCGCACAGACGAAAGAGTCACATTTCGCTTCTCCGACCCACACGAACCAAGCCTAGCCAGCGAAGATGCACAATACGTCGATACAAACACGCTGCTTTCCATCTCACCATTCTACGCTCGAACATCAGCAGAAGATCCCAGGAATACCGTCATCACTGTACCAGATTACATTGCTATACGAACAGTGAACATCTTCATTCAGCTCATCTCGCCGGAACGCGCAAATGAGCTGCCCACACACTATCTCTGGTCAGCCAAAAAATATGTCCCAGGCGTGTACGATCGCTATGGCGCTATACGTGTGGAGAAAATCATCTGGACTGTAGACGCGCTTCTCGATCTTTTGCTTTTCGCGCAGTGGATGGAAGTGTACTGGATCGTCGACATGGTGGTCGATCGACTGCACTTCCTGTTTGCCGAAGAAGCGCGATGTGAAGACATCTTTGCAGACATGGGTAAGCCTGTCGATGGCTACGTTAATATTGCTGGGCGGCAGGTGTTCGTTGGAAGTAAACTGCCACCCGTGGACAATACGCTGGCTCGCGTGACGGCCAAGGACTTTGAGAGAGACTTCATGGTACTGTTAGCCGAGATGTCAGCAAGTACGCCCGTATGGAGATTTCTCGCAGACTTGCTCTACGCATTAGGCGAGGAGGTGAAAAGCGCTGAATGGTTTCCGGCCTTGTCAAAAGACGTACAACGTATATTGTCTCAACCGGAAGAAAACTATCTTGACGCAACGACTGCGCGAAAGGAGTTTTGCGCGCGATATCACCATCATGCAGTAGGCTCGGAAACTTGCTACACAGCCCACCGCGTCCATTCGGCTACCCATAACATCGATGCTCTATATGCTGATTCGTCTCCGAAAGCGCTGATTCGTCTCTCCGAAGGACTTGACTCAACGAGTAGTCTGACTAGCATCATGTACTCCAGCACTGGCAATGCCAGTAAGTTGAAGCAGGACAACTCGACACAATCTATGCTAGACACAGAGAAGATGGTATTGGACATGGAAGGTCGTCTATACGAGGCGAAGATGGCGATGCAGAAAGCGCGAGTCGCTGGTGAAGATGAGAAGAAGGCTGCCACGGAGGAAGCGAACAGGATCGCGCGGTCGATGTACAGTCACGAGGCGTCCGCGAAGGGGCAGTGAAAGTCTTTTAGATGAATGTATTTCAACTGTTCATTTTCATGCGTTCTGCTATAGATTGTTATGCTTATTTCCAAAGCTTCTGAAGATGAGCATTTTCGCAGAGAGCGGTAGATACATCAATCTGATTAATAAACATTGCAAATTTGACTACTAAAGCAGTAACAACATGTGCATGTATACTGGAGAGCGCGACATGTACACTATTTGCTAATGAGAGGCTTACAGCTTCTCGACCTCAAGAACGTTGCCTTGCGCGTCGGTGGCGAGCCTCTTCTTAATAAGCGACGCGTTCCTCGGGTTCGGCGCGTTGAAGATGTCATCGATCTCCTCGAGCGTGCGGTTCTTGGTCTCCGGGATGAAGAGCCAGACGACGAAAGCCTGGACCGGGCACCAGCAGGCAAAGACGATGTACAGCTTCCAGCCAATCTTCTCTAGAGCAATAGGATAGGCGAATTGGTTGATCAACATGGCTGTGGTAAGCGCCAAGTTGGAAAAGGCCATACCCTTGGCGCGCATCTCGAATGAGAGCACCTCGACGGGGTAGAGGGCTTGGAGCGGAGTAATACCAAAGGCAAAGACGGCGTTGAAGAGGAAGACCAATGCTACGAAGGCATTACCGGCAGGGATGCTTCCGGTCTTGTTCTGGTAAGAAACAGCGCCGATGGCTCCGGCCCAAATTACTGTCACGGTCGAAAAGGTACCGATCAGCATGGGTCGTCGACCCAGTTTGTCGACGCAGAGAGCTCCCACGACAGCCTAGGCGCCAGCAATCAGTAATCGTACATGTAGCTTTTCTGTGAATAGACTTACGAAGGCAAGCTGCATGCAGCTCTTTCCCAAGTTGATGTTCATCTTCTTGATCTCGTCCGTGACGCCTGCAGATTCGAGAACACCAGAGATGAAGTAGTCGACAGCACTGTTTGACACACGATTAGTGACTTCGTTTCTTGTACTAGTCGAGCAGACTTACCCATTGCCTGCCCATTGACCGAAGATCGCGACTATGCAATTGCAAGCGAGGCGGTAGCGCGCAGGACGAGTCTTGAAGAGAGAGCCGTAGTCCCACCAGCGCTTGTCTCCTCCGTCCATGTTGAGGTATTCCTCGTATTCGCGAATCTGCATGGAAACCCAGATGCTGTCCTCATTGCCGCAACCATGGTACTTGGCGAGAGTCTTCTTAGCCTGGGTATGTTTGCCGCGGGTGTACAGCCAGCGAGGGCTCTCTGGAAGAAGAAGAGGTAAAATAACGAGTAAGGCTGGGAAGAGCATCTGAAGCCAGACGGGAATCCTCCAAGATTGGTTGCCCGCGAGATTGGCGGACCCACGTGTGACACCAGCAGCGAGAAGTGATCCGACGAACCAGAAAGTATTGTAAAGACCAGTGATGATACCACGGTGAGCTGGATGCGCAGTCTCGATGACATGAAGCGGACCAGCGGTTGTCATGATTGGGACTGCGAAGCCGAGGAGGAAACGACCACCCATGACTAAGGAGGAACGCGAAATCAGCATAAATCTCATCGAGACGTCGTACGTGGGCGTTGCTTACATTGGCCGACAGGGTTGGACGCAGGAGCAGTTGACTGGATGATGACACCAGTGCAGCCAAGAACTCCGCCAATCATCATACCAATGCGACGACCCCAAGTGTCGCAGGCGGGGCCGATAAAGGGAAGGGCAACAACACCACCAATCTGGTACATGGAGGTGACGATACCAGCCCAGGCTCCAGTACTCTCGACGTTGTAGTACTCCTTGAAGGTGTTGTTGGTGAGGAGCGAGTTGAACATGGATCCGTCGAACCCGTTGCATGTCGAGCAAAAGAATCCCACAAATGCACAGACGTAGAGCAGCATAGCAGAGCTGGAGAAACGTTGAACAGGCTCCTTCAGCTTGGCTTCTGCTATGGCTTCAGAGCCAGAGATGATGGCGATGTCAGCCACAGCACCTTTGTGGTCCTGGTAGGTGTAAGTACAGTCAACGGCTCGTAGTTTGAACATGATACTTACGCCATTCTCTGAGGTCGTCGTAGCATAAGACTCTTTGATGTCCGACATTGCTTTGGTGGAGACACTCCAGATGAGCTGTGTGGAATACGTCTGGGAAACGGGTGGACTATTAAACAAAATCGGATATGCACAAGGGAAGGACCTCAAAGACCAGACTGCCGGGCTATGGCCCGCAATGTCCGGCTAATGCTGCATCCCAGCGGCGTGCTGTCGGACTCGCAGTTCTGGAAATATGTTCCCGAGCTAAATGGACACGGAAGGCTCTGGCCCGCATCCTAATTGGGAAGCGGCTCCAGCATCTCGAACAAGCCTCAACCGTCCCGTTCAAGCGCATGCGCCACATACTTGGGAGAAGTGTAGTATCGAGAGGCATAACTATCGGAATCGTGGACCGTGGGCAATCGTGTTGGCTGCTGCACGACAGCTGCCACTAGGCCAAGACGATCCCAGTACGCCGACAAGGTCCCTGATAGCGAAACAGTAGAACGCGGGGAATCTCCTGGTGTTCACAAACCCGGGACATATCCTTGTCATATGAAGGTATCCCATTTCGCCAGTCTCGACAGGGCTACTCCAACTTGCAACAGTATGGGGGACAGATCGCCTATCCCCGCGTATGCTTTTGGTCTAGAAAATAGAAGGGCAATCCTTCAAATTCAGCAGACAATGGCCAACACTAGCTGGAATGTAGATCGCCCGTGCCAACGGCGGCGCTGGGCGAGCTCAGCACAAAGCTATCAGCAGGATCATGCTGGATGAGGCATTGAAGGCTGACGCAGGAGGTGACCCCAGGTGATAGAAAGGCTTGTCTTGATAGTAGCGGTTTTATCCGCGAATGAGCTCCGATGTCGAGGATTGGCGCGAGCGCAAGCGCATGGCACAGCACATGGCCTAGGGCGGTTGCTGACGCATGATTCTGCATGACAGTCGGCTGGAAGCGCCTCGTTGCATGCCGGGGGTCTCAAGCAAAATTCGATTAGATGAGAGCTAGGTGTATGCACATTGGCGCGTTATGGACGAGTAATGGGGTAAGGATGTCGTGGTGCAACGGAGGAGCCCCCATCACTCGGTTGCCCAGCCGTAAGCGACGGCGCTACTGTGGCGTTCCCGAGGTTACGACCAATGCGGACAGGCGCTACGGAGAGCCTGTCTCCGTGCCAGCTTCGGTCAGGTCAACAACACCTTAAACCAACGGTTTCACGAAAGCTCTACTACGGTAAGAGGCATACGCTCTGTGTGTGGAGAGGCTAACAATATGAGCTCCGGGACTACTTTGGTTAGCATGCCAGCAGAAGAAGAAGAGTCCACGGGTACGTTACGAAGGCTTGGCTATTCTAGCTTGAGTTGCAGTCTGCCTTGAGATGAATTTCAACTGCTGGGTTAGGGTGCGGCATGTGGCGTGCGGTGGGTGAGTATTGATCCTACCTAGGTACAAAAAGGGGAGGTCTAATCATCAGATTGTGGCCATCGGTAATGCGGGCCGTTTCTATCCTCGTCGATTGCTAATACTAATCACAGCGCTTGACGTTTGTCTTTAGATCCTTAAAAAATCTTTGGACTTTGCTCCGAACACATCTTGTTCAGGTCACCGGGCGAATTTCTGAGTCAAGCCTAAAAACACTGCGTCAAAATGGACATGTTTAGCGCGACGAAAAACGAGATGACGCATTAGATCCGGTATCATCGAGGACTGGAATCAAGCGTTATAGGACTACAACAAGGCGTTTAAGACTAACAATTGATGGTAACATATCTAGGGTGCATCGAACTACATCGACTATTCCAAGATTGTGTATCGACCTGTGAATAGGTCGGATCGTCCTTAGCGGTCTCGTCCTGTATTCAATCCTAACCCATCAGGTTTAGAGAGGTATCGTCGTTGTGGCGACATGCCGGCCCAGAAGGCTCGTCAAACTCAATCAGATACCTCTGGTCCTCTGCTTTGGATTGCAGCAATCAATTCCGCATTGCAGACGCCCATGTTAACAAGTTCAGGAGCTATCCCCGCTCTATGGGCGATACCAACCCAAAATCCGCGGGCTGGATCCTCATAGCGAGTGATTTCGAAGAGCAAGTTCATGTTCTCGACACTTAAATCCATCTCGGCGTTCTTTTCCGCAAGAGTGCGCCACCGCGCCAATATCAGCCCGCACATATGGTCATCTTGAAGCTGTGCAGCCAAGCAGTACAGGTCCATTAGTGAGCCGTTTCCGCGATGGAAACCTGCCGGCGCTTTTGTCAAACATCCGGCGGAGCTGCATTGCACGTACCACTGAACGACCTCTATAGATGAGCATTCAACCTGTACTGTCGTTTCGCTGTCGGCAGCCATTAATTGCTGAAGCACCACGGAGCTGCTACCAAGGTCTTCGAGGTCGCCGATGACAACTTCAGATGGTGAGTCATGTGCGTCATGTACCTCTAGTACAACCTTTTCGACGTGTGCCGACATTAGGTCGTCTATGTAGTTATGTACGTCTGCTCGATTTCGAATGGCATCTGGAGGCATCCATCCGGCGATGCGTTCATTGGAGATGGAAACTTCGCCCTTGTCCACACGCATCTGCGGTCTGTCAGCATGAGAGACCTCAGTAGGACCACGAACCTTTTGGTTGCTGGTGTAGGCTTGCACGCAAGGAGCTTGAGCGTGTAGGGCGGCAACCTTCGAGCGCCGAATGGCTTGTGTCTTTGGTTTCTTTGCGTACATTATTTTGAGGGGATAACCTGGATGTTTGGCTAACCAAGCAGGTCGGTGTTGTCGTGCGCGCTTCTCCATCGCCGCTGGACCCACAGACATATCGTACTTTTTGTTGTATGCTTCGGCGACTCCCGGCCACGGCAGCGGGCCGTATGTTTCTGACGACTCGCCATAGGCATCTGGCTTGTTATTGTCGCGTTTTATGATGATGAACCCGACCTGCTCTTCGGCATGGCGTTGCTTCCCCTCTCTTTCCATGGTAAGCATGGCGCGCTGAGTGACACGGTGAGCATTCTTCAGCGTAACTAATGTTGTCTCATCCGCTTGATCCTGTTCCGACTCTTTTTGACCCGGCTGATACTCATCTTCGCTGTCATCTGTCTCGCCTGTGACAATTGAGTCGGACGAATGATGAACTGTTCCGGGACCTGCAGTGGCCTTCAACATCTCCAGAGCACGCAACAAAGCGCTTTCGGAAGTAGCAACAGCATCAAGAACCATAGTTGAGCAAAGCTGGGGTGATCTCAAGATAGAAGAGATCTACAACGCTAAATGTACCTGCCTGGTGTAGACATTCACTAGACGGTATGTATTCACACGCGTGAGTTTCGGGGTGCATTGTCGACGTACCTAGCTACTACTCAGCGGGACGGGATGACTAGTTACAACCTCGATACCCATAGCACGTCCCATCTAGATGATTCTAGTTGAGACATGCTCTTGCGATGTTCGCAAGGTGTTGAGCTTGCATCTTCCAAAAGCATAATTTCACATGCTGTAGGTGCACAATGCTTACGGTCATAGTTTTGGGGATGAGAGAAGGCCAAGGCCGGTTTCATTGATCTCCAAAAGGGCAAAAAGTGATACTGATACTTGTTGTAGTTGTGCGCACGCTGATAAATAGAGTGGGATACATGAACTGACTACGAAATCGCCAAAAATTCACTAGGTGACGTTAAAAAAGCGTCTCTAGAGCCTTAGCCCATGGAAAAACGCTTTCCTATCCCCTTCTTCTTACTAGACCCACCAAATTTCGCCCTCATAGCCACCCAACTGCCTGGCTCTTTCTTCAGACGAGTCAAAAACATTGCTACGTCAGCTTTGATGGAATTGAAGCTTAGCATCATCTCGTTCGCGCTTTTCGAAATACCATTGAGATGTGTACGAGCTCGCTCTCCAGCAAGACCATGGTCCTCGCACATCGTCCGATGCACCTGCTCGTAGACATACAAGTCCTGGCTGGCTCCTTCCATGAGCGGATCTAGCTCAAGGGGCAAACTTGAAGTGCTGGAGTGGGCTGGATCGGAAAGCGACCGGAAAAGAATTTGGTAGATGTTCAATATCCTGAATGCGCGAGAGAAGAACCGATCTAAAGGTGCTGCCTCACTAACGATGGCGTTATACAGCGTCTCTGTTTTCTGTACCAGAGCAGCCTTATCGTTAAGAGAGGCGGAAGCAGATAAAACCTCAGACTCTAAGTCGTGAATGAGCGTAGTGAACGTTTCGCTAAATTGCTCGCTTTCATTCTCGACTTCAGACGTATGAGACAGTATCTTTGCAAATTTAGCTTCGTTGGCTGCTATGATCGCTGCGTCGTGTGCGCGAAGGTTGGTGAAAGTTTCAGCTGCCCGTTCGTTCTCGGCCTGTAGTTGCACAATGGTGAACTGAAGTTGTTCTAGCTCTTTTTGCAAACGGTCAGCTCTGGCGATAATTTCATCGGAGGCAGCTTGGTCCGTGACAGCGAGAGCAAGCTCGCGCTCGTAACGTTGTGCACGCCGTTGCGAATCTTCAGCAAGCTCACGGTAGTATTCGATCTGCCGGTGCGCCTGTTGGAGATCGACTTTGAGCGCCTTGAACTCTGCTGGTTGGTCGTCAATCTCTGCTTCCTTTTCCTTGATTTTCGCTCGCAATGTATTGTTATGAGTTTGCAGGTCTTGCTCACGATCTTGAATCTCCCTAATGTACTCTCGCGCTGCTTTGAGTTCGCTCAACTCCTTGAAGTGATCGCGTAAGACGTCTGGGATGGCGTCCTCTATCTGATAGCCTTTCGTTTTGACATTGGCTACAATATCGGACAACTGCTTCCTCATATCCCCGAGAGTAGCCATGAATGCGGTGGCGATGTTGCGTTGCTTCTCGACGGTTGTTGGGATTTTAAACTTGAGCCCGTGGAATGTACCGTCAGGAGTCTAAGAACGAGATTGATGTCGAACATGGTGTTGACATGGTTTCCCGACAGCGTGCATTCTAGGTGTGATGACGTCGATGGCGACGGTAAACCGCATCGTGCCCTTACAATGAAATGATCTGAGCAGTCGGGAATTCGTGACCGAAAAGGGTACTATGTGAGTACCACAGGCATAATTGGCTAGAATATGCCCGCATATCTTTAAGCTATAATGCGCAAGTGGCCGCAAGCTTTGCGCACTATGTGTATCGAGCAGGGAGGTATGACAGCATCCCTCTTAACCGGACAGGTAGTGAGTCGGAATGAATCTAGTATGGCCACTTTCAACCCGCTTTTCCAGACGAGTAGCCGTTTGGTCGAACTTATCGAGCTCGTTCCTAATTGGATCGCACCTTGCTTTATCAGTGGTAGAGACGAGGAGGCCATACTTTACTGGATCTTTCGGTGGGTAGGTCTGCCAGTACGATTGCCTGTTGCTGCTGATGACGGGCTTGGAAGAACGCCGCCAGGTTCGCGACACGTTCCATGCAGAGACTTGTACTTCGGGTCCCGCAAAACGGGAGACGACGTCGAGCAGCTCTGATATTTGGAACACTTGATGTCCCCGGTGAGCACACTGTCAAGATTTTGTTGTTTCTGATGGTGTCGGTATGGTGCGCCGCGCTGGTCAATGATGCATACCGTCAAGAGCTCCTGCATTACGCGAAAAGGACGCGTCGGAATCGGAACGCGTCGCATGCATCGGAACAGGTATGCGCAAGAACGAACGAGATTTGGATCCAAGGCAGCCGTGTGGCAAGCTAAGTCTTTAACATCGGTTTTCAGGCGACGTCATTTTTAGTTGCGCTGTGAGCGTGTAGCCCATAGCTTCCAGCGACATTGTTTTGCTGATGACAATGGTGACTTTGCGTGTGACGTCACATGCGACGCCCCTGAACGCCGGCTTTGTCTGCCTACCCCACTGCCATTCGGGCACCTTTCCAAGGCTCAAACCTCAATCCTTTTGAACCGGACTTGATGGCGACTACTCGGCGCGACGCGTTCCAGGACAAGAACGACAGTACTGTATTGTGAAGCAAAGGAGACGGCTTGTGGCGTCCGATCAAGGCTGCGCCCTCTGGACAAGCTGACCGGTCGCGCGACATGCACTAATTAAATGGTTATGTGCAGTTGCGATACGCCGCTGCGCGCTGCGGGACTGCGCGCTCAAACGTATGAAATGATGACCAGGCATCACTCCAGAGTCTCCTCGCGGGTGTGGTGTCTTTTTGTCTTCTCTGTCTGCATTCTGCGCGTGTAGGATCGCTACTCACATCACAAACTGCTTTCAACCTGCATCGGAAATGGAACCTCACCACTCCCCAAGCAATGATGCGGACTCCATAGGCGCCAGCTGTGGAGGTATGTTTACGTTGTCCAGTATGGGGTGTTCTTGCTAACACTGGAAACCAGGTACCCCGATTTTGTCCTAGTAAGCCCGGCTTTGATCATGTCTGGCAGTGTTAGCTGTGTCTATCCGATTGTCAGTCGCGCCGGATGTTTCACTCCTTCTTCAAGCCAGCAGCAAGCCGCAAGACCCAACGAAAAAATCCACTGTTCCCGGAAACGTAGCTTCTTGACTCAGACTATTCTCATCATCGCCAATCCATTACGCCGCCATTCCCGACGCGTAGACTAGCCCCGATCGATTCATCGAACACATGCTAGTTTGTGTTGATATAGACTCCATGGGTCAAGCGGAGGTACTAACTCGCGGCAAATTGCACAAGCAAGGCTCTGAGTTAGGGTAATGTCTGCAGGAAAACTAGAGCCAACGTCTAGAAGAGCGACAGCCCCTAATACCATGAGGATAGAGCCCGAGGGCATACAAGGTCGTAAAGGCAGCCGAAGCTATAAAGAGTAGAGAAGAAGCCGGTACGAACACAAGCTTGAGAAGAGACCTTATAGTAATGATCCGCTGAGGTGCAGGCACTGTTGTTCGAGAATCCGAGGACATGTTGCTCATAGACAACAACTGACTAACGGGGGTTCCGCTATCTGCACTCATAGTATGTCCGCGAAAGCGCAAGCCCCAGCACCTGTTTTGGAAACGAAATGGAGAAGTGGTTGTGTAGAGTGGAAGAGAAGCGCGGGGTGCAAAGGTTTTGATTGTTGTGACGCCAAGGCACTAGTACAGCACAGGTCCCATCACGTGGGACGTCGCCTCGTTGATGTGCGAAGTGAAGGAGGAGCTGAAGTTCTTGTTACGCGTAAGATATTGTCTGATTGGTTTAACATGTATGCAAAAGTCGTCAGGTGCTCTTATCGGGCTCATATACACTCATATGCTCTCGTGGCGGCGAGCAATGTCGATACTCGTAGCTTCAAGGCCATCGTTCATTGGCTAGAGGACGTGGAATTTCGCGTTTGGAGACCCCCACGTGCAACGCGAGCAAACGGTCGTCGTCAAGTGCCCAGATCCCGGTTCTGACCGATGTTTGTGTCCGTGGCTATTTTCGACTTGGGCTTGATCTCCTCACCTCCTCACACCACCACAGACAAAAAGGTTCTCCTCACATTGCCACACTAGGATGGAGACTGTCGCGCAGGATCTCAAGCGTAAGCACGTCGCCGATGAGCATTCACTGTCGGAATCCGAGGAAGTCAAGCGTACAAAGCATGAGGCGGATCCACAAAAACTGCTTGAGACATCTTCTCGTGTCATTGAGGGCCTCTTCTGGACTCTACCAGTGGAGTTGAAGGACTTAGTATCCGCTCATGTAAGTCTCCTCCCATATGCCAATCACTCTGTCTAACATTGCTAGCTTTCCGAACACGACCTCAAGCAGCGCCTGCAAGTCGCTTCAGGTCTTATACAGACTCACGGCCCACCCATCAACAAGCAGGGCGCCGCAGAATACTTCCTCAAGACGCTCTACAAGACGGTCTTCTTCTCACTACATCCGCAAGATGTGCATACATTCGACGGTTTGGTTGAGGGTTCCACCACGGCCAACTTCAGCGCGATCCGAAACGTACTCTTCGAAACGTTCATACCGACCAACGAGATCTTTGTCCGTCTACTGCAAGGCTTCCGGAAAGACAGTGATTCCAATGTCCGCATCGTCTCCTTCACAGCAGGATCGCTCGTCGACAACGCGACCTTGCTAGTTCTGGAGAAATTCTTCCAGCGCCACATGACTTCTTTAGAGGCCATCGTCATCCCGAGCTACGACGACGGCCCTATTCATAACGCATGGGCTTTCCACTATCCAAGAACCAAGGCCGAGGTCAAGGAGATTGATCGCCAGAACCTGATCGTCGCTTCAAGCAA